AAAAAAATTAAATGTTTATAAAGATCTATAAAACGACGCAAAAATCCTTTGCATTCGTTAAAAATAACTATATAAACGTCAACTGAAATCGACAAAAATGTTCGCTTGCTCCTCAAGATATTTGAATATTTGATGAAAGAGCATGATATTTTGCATGCTCTTTAGCAATTTAAATGAACCAAAGATCAAATTTAAACCTCTTATTCGTTTATCGACTGCAAGCGGTCGCGTTAATAGGAAGAACACATCAAATTATAATGCTGCATCGGCGTTTTACCAATCGCTGTCGCGCATTTTCTTACACGCGAAGACGCGCGTCTTCTAACACGTGGGAAAGAAGACCGTGTACTGTACGCGTCGTGCTGTAATCGCCATGAGAATTCACCTTTTGTTACGGTTACACATCCTATATTCCGACAGAGAAGGAGAGTTTCGTTAGAGCGGATCTATATCTCGTTACGTGCGTTAATTTACTTCGCACGGTCGCGATGCTCGTTAATAAATTAATCCAAATTACGGAGAAGCCGTCGAGAAAAAAATCCAACGTGCTCGATACGCGATCATGTGCGTATTTGAATACATATGATATTAATGTGCGAATTCGATCGTTCCTGTGCAATTATATTCAATACAAATCGTTATAAGTTTTTATCATCATTAGATGACATGATTGCACTTGTCAAAGTTCAGTCATCAATGCGGTTTGCAGCGAATTTCATAATCGACAACTACCGCTAATAAATATTTCACAACGAAGATGATTTAATACTTATCTAACATCTCTTATGCAATCTTCCTGTTTGCGCTACGACAATCGATGCCTTTATGAGCGGTTAGCAATACTAATGACTACTTATCTAAGCATATGCAAAGATTAATAAATTCAATCTCATATGAATTTCGAGAAGTAATTAATCGCCTGAAAGTCTGCGGAAAAAGTAATAACTTAGCGTTTTACTTGTATGTGGAATATATGCAAATAATTATTTTTATATTTTACATTTTCTAAGAATTCTCAGATTTTAATGTAAATCAGCATTTTAATTAAATGAAGCAAATAAGAAATATAATTATTACATTACAAAATTATAATTATTACGTTTATTAATGAATTGATTATTAACTGTCAATTATTAATCATTCAAGCGTAAAATCTTTAAATTGTTTACATTGCTCAGTTCCCTTTTATTACCTAATAAGGAAATCTCAATTTCCCCGATACGCATAATTCTCGAGTCGGGAAAAACTTCGTATTAAGACGAAAATCCTTTTCAGCTAGAATCGTTTGCAGCTAGAATGCAATTGGACGCGCTAATGCAAGGAACGGACGCGTTGTCATCGTCACCCAGTATATGTCTCGCGAGGGAAGTGAGTAACAAGAAGAACCGGTCGACCTGGCACATAACCGCTTCGTATGCTGTCATTTTTCCTTAGCTGATATACCTGCTTCTCTCCCCCTGCTTACCTTTGCTATCTCGCGTCTCTTGCTCGCCCGTTCGGACTTTCCTTCGCGTGAATGTCACGTTGGCATTTTGCGAAGCGAGTCGCTAATAACTACTACTATTACTACTACTACTACTACTACTACTACTACTACTACGATTACTACTACAATTATTACTTTAGTTATCCCTGTTTCGTGATGATGAAAAAATATTCGTTTTTCAATCACCGCCTTAAAAATCATCATTAAAATTCATATCATAAAGTGTGAAAAAAATATAAAAAAATTATATTGCAATATTGTAATCTATTTTCCTCTAAAAACGCAATATTTTATCAGAATATCCGGTTAACAAGCCGCGTGAAACGATTTGCCCGAGGGGAACAGTAAAAGTCTTTTAATATTCTCGCACCGACGCGAAATTTGCATTGATCTCGCAATTCTTGACGGAATACACGATAAAGAATTCGCGGTGTTTGAAAAGGAAAGAAAAAGGCCGATCGACTGTATCTGAGAGTTAAGAGCGAGCTGCGATTGCATGATCGGGTTACGACGAGACGCGTATCTGTCTCGCTTGGAGTTTCCTGGTGCAGATCGGAGTACGTTAGAAACGGTATTATCCCGGCGACGTATCCCACGACACGTGGGGAGGTCACGCGGAAGTTCACGGAGGGAAAATTCGCGATCTCGCGAAAATCGAGTCGATTTGCAATTTTCCGGCGAACGAGCGTGGAAACGAAACGAGGGAGAGAAATATAGATACAGACTCGTGTCGCCGGTGAATTGCATGTGGTATACTATAAGACGTAATTATTGTCTTAGAGACCGCATGCGAGTCGATCGGGAAAGTCGAAGGGACGGAAAACGTCGGCGTTACAGAGACACGTAGACTCCCACAAGACTATCATTTGCGCTCGCTTCTGGAGCCGGGTTTTGCGGCGATCTAGCACGCATGACTGGACCGCGTCTTTGAGGCACGCGCGTATGCAAAACCGTAATTTTGCAACGTGCGTTAATAAAACGTCCGGCCGCAGTCGGATAATAATCCGGAATCGATCTGTTCATCGTCCGATTATATATCGATACACCGTGATATATTAAGATTGCTACTAAGAAATGCGAGGGCCGAGAACGGCGTGGACTTGGGTCGTACTTATAACCAGTATTTCTCTTGTAAGCTGTGCGATTGCGCGATAAAATTTTACAGAACGAAATATCGTTTCATAAATTATTAATATAGGTGTTCTAAAACAATTCTGAAATTTGTTTCTAAAATAATTGAAAACAACAATCGCATCGGTCGGAACTTTAAGAAGATAATTTATAACTGTGAAATAATCCATGCTTTTTTTTATTTTCGTAAAGGAAATTATTACTAATAATAATGAATTAATAGGCTGAAGCTCAAAATGTGTTTTTCAACTGCCTCTAATCATTGTCAAAATAATATGAACGATTGCTCGTTATAATATTGTAATAGACAAGTTATTTTTTTCTAAATTTTGTTCTTTGCATAAATCAACCTTAATGTTTCATAAATAAGATTCTAATTAGCATCTAACTAATTAGCATCTTCGGCATAAATACTGATAACATATCGCCCTTCAAACTGCCTTTCACTGTCGACAGGGATTGCTAGACCAATTTATCGACCTCGGATATCGTCACGTAGAAAGACGCCGTATCGTGACACGGTTAAGAAATTATTGGTACTTAGACCTTGCACACATACGGCAACTTCTCACCTCGCGTGACTTCGCGACGTGCCATTTCGCGAAATAGTAGTACGTCAAAAATCTTGGCGACTGACAGTCAAGACTTTGATTTTGCAATTTCATCGATACGAATTGCACGAGCGATTGTTCCTACAAGCTTAAAATCCGTTTGAAAAGAGAAAGAGAGAGATCGGTTGCTCTAAAAAATATCGTTAAAAATATCTTTAAAATATACTTGCAATATTAATAATTAACATATTTTAAAAATTTGTGTAAATTCTACCTAAAAAATGATTGTCCCTTTCAATCCAGAAAAAAATTCGCTTAATTAAGAAAAAACTAGAAGACAAGCTATTACATATATGTTACGGATTGAATCTTGCGGATACATGTATAAATTGACAAGATATAAATATCTACAGATATCACTGAGATGGAAAAAAGGAGAATTCAAGCTATACGTATAGAATGCGCATACTTATTGAGAGTAAATTATAGATGACTGCTTATGAATTTGGATCGAGACTCGAACGATAGGCAACACGCGAGATGCACCGGATCTCGTGTCGTGGAAAATAAATCGAAACACGCAACCACGTAGGCAGCGTTTGCATAATGTCGATGCATCGGTCCGCGATTTATGAGAGCAGGAATTAATCCTTTTGTAACGCAAAGACTTTTATCAGATAAAAAAAAGATGTTTAACAAAAAGTTGTGTATAAAAATGAAAAATGTCTCGAAACCGCAATTGTACTCCAATTGTATTTCAATTGTACTCCAATTGTACGAGTTCGATATTAGCCGCAGCAATTGTCCGCAAAGTAATAGCTTCCAAATTGATTGCTAACACGGAACAGAACGCTTGAATCGACATTTCTCGCCGGTCATGATTGGTAACCACATTGTGGCGAGGACCGAGAAGCGAGAGACACTTTCCACGGATGACTTGTCAACTCCGACACTTACATAAACGCTTTCTCGTCGTTAAAGTCTCGCTTTTACTAAATATTATCAACGTCGCGGCTGAGGGTCGGATGGTCCGCGATTATTATGTTGGTTTCTCGAGACAGGGCGACGAGGGGGAGGATCTTTGAAAATGCCGAAGGTGCCACGCGCATTCGCGTGTACGCCATAATAATGACACTCGTGCTGCAAATTACGGATACCGCATACTTACAAATCCGCGACTGCCGTATTCACATCGCGAGCTCTCTTTCTCTCTCTTTCTCTCTTGCAGTTTACGCACGCGAAATGAAGATATCAGAGTACGCCTGGGCTTGCCGTGCCTCCTCGCATCGACCTTTATTATAAGATGCCCTTTAAACTCCGCGCACACGTGAGAGCCACCGCATGCATAAATTTGATTCACAGTTTTGTTCTTGTCGTACAGTCTCTCCCAGAACTACTTGGAAGATGATAAAAACTTTTACAGATGCAACCGAACATTATTTAGAAAAAAAATTTTATATCGCAATAAAATATATTGCAATATCGCACTCGCAAAGACTTGCCTCAATTGTTCCGATCGAGTTTAGCAAAGAGGGGGTAAAAGATGACTGAGAAATTGGATGGGATGCAACAATAGATCGAAAAATACTATTTTGGAAAAACAAGTTGAAAGTTTCGCAAATGAAAAGTACGATTCAAATATAATCTGATGCAGCTTTTATAACTTATAATGTAACAATGGTGTCATGCGTAACGTTTTTCGAACGCAATAATCGTCAACTTTACAGAAGCTATTGTTACATCTCAATTCCTCGGGAAATGATTTTTGCGAGTCATCAGATTCGATTTTGCGAGTGCGTCTTCTGCACCGGAGATGATCTTTGCAAACTTACCATGACTGGTGCACGTGTGCGCCTGTATGTCACCTAATGCCGCAATTGTTGGCCGTCAAGCAGGGGCATGTCTACGAAGGAGGCAATCGGAGCGGTAGACGGTGAGAAGAAAACTTGAAATCGCTGTCTCTTACTCTCTCTCTTTCTTTCTCGTCGTGTCGTTGCACCCTGCACAGTCAACACGAATCACACTATACGTAAACACACATGCACAGAGAGAGAGAGAAAGACGCGCGCCGGGAAAAAGGCGCCAGCGCACGCACGTAAGCGGTGCGCCTCCTTCACTCTTCCACTCACAAAGACACAGATTTTCGTGCCCTCGTACACGAAAATTTTCCCGAATCTCCGATATGGTAATCGAAGAAGAATTACAAACCGAGGGACCCCCGCGCGATCATCGATATCGGCGATGTTGGGGATCAGCGGCTCAAGAAGAGGAACATCCCCCGATGAAAATTATATTTCGGTGGACGCGTTTGTTCCCCTAAGAAACTTGACCGGTATTACTATACAGTTACGCGCCAGTTAGAGGGCGAGGAAGAGACGGACGGATTTTCAACCTGGCGGACACCGACTGAGCCCGCGACCGGCAGGTAGGTGAGCCGTCGCCCCTCTCCACACTCCGATCGCTCGTTCGGCGTGCCGCACCACCACCGGTCGCCGCTCACCGTGTTCTCCATTCTCATTTCCCTCGCTTCACTTGCCTCGCCGCTCCTTACTTCGTTCGCCTTTCGTCGTAGATACGCGCGTCTCTTCCCGGTCTCCCGCAGAGACGGCTCTACCGTCGAGCGAACTGGGTGAAAGTGCATCGCGTTAGATTATACGAAGGCATTCGTACCTGCCTGCTTGTAAATACTTTCCTCGCTATATAGATTCATCGCGTTAATGTTCAAGATCTCGTAAATGCTAGGATTCCGTGAAATGACAAATATTATTTCACCGTGTATAAATAAATAATTATCTATACTAACGTTAAAAATCTCACTTTTGTGAAAAATCATGCTAAATTATTTGAAACAGATCGCAATATTATTGTATCTATACAATTTTCATATTTGCAAAATATGCATTTCAACCTTAAGAATTCGAGTGCATAAAAATTTCATTCAAAATAGCAAGTATTTTCATACATGGAAAACTATATTAAAAACTATATTTAAAAAAGGGAACAATTTCCTAAAAAAATATATTTCTAATATAAAGAATTTTGAGAAATGGAATCCTGGCTTTTTATCTTGAGCTATGATATTGTTATCATATCTCTGATGTAGATATCTAATTATAAAATATATCTTGTGAAATAAAATAGAATCCTGGCTTTTTTTCTTAAATTGATTGAATTATCTTAAAATGATGAACGCATTTATAGAAATCTCATATTTGCAAAGATTTTTGTATACACAAGGGCTTCGTATTAGGCTATGAGACGGCTATTTAAATTTCATTGGACTTCACATATATGTATCAAATAAACTAAATATCTACAAGTGCTTTGTTATGGAAGCTCTTGTGTATATGTACAATGGCTCGCTCCACGATACAGAATTTTGCGATATTCACAAACAGTAAATACACTTGCCTAGGGCACAGTTATTTCTAGTGCCGCCTCTGTCTGCCTCCCCATGATCATACCGCATATTAACGCACAAGCGGTAGACCATAGTCATCATGCCCTATCGGCGTTAACGAGATTATGTCCTGCATAATTATGCACCTTTCGATGAAGGATTATTATGATCAAACCATGCAGGATAACAATTATGGCATAACAATTTCATATAAAACGATAATTATAAATTTAAAATAAAGGCAAATTAGAATCATTTAATCTTTTGCAATACGTAATTTAATAATGTTTTACCAATAATTTAATATACTTTTAATAATATACTGATAAAAAATTGAGTTTAACTCTTTTAGTGATGGAAAATAAATATATCAAATATTGTATTGTATTAATAACAATGGGAGGAAAACAAAGGTTTTTACTATTAATAAATATTATTTATATGTATATTTAACTATAGATATTATTTTAGAGAAATATACCTAATAAAATTAATGAGATGCAATAACAACATCTGGCTTTTCGCTTTCGTCTTCTTCTTCTTCTTCTTCTTTTTTAAGCGCACTACTTTCAGGTAAATATTGTTCAAAGTTAACTTTAAACTTTTCTCTTGTTGGTGGACACAAAATATGAATTCTGTTAAAACATAATTATAGAATTATATCTGTGAAATAAACTGGATATATAAGTCTACTATAAATAATCCTAAATATTACCTTGTGATAAAAGGCTCTGATTGGCGTACTTTTGCAGCATCAACATCCTTAATAATAGCAATAAAATTCTCTTCCAATTGTTTTATATCCATATCGAGCTATAAAATCATAAATCAATTGATAATCATTTTATATTGTCCAACACATACACAGAGTAACAAGATATGTTTGTAATAATATTATATAACATTAAGAATTTACCGTTCCAAATGTAACATCAATAGTGCCATAAGATTGTAGGAGATTTTGTGGCTTTGCCATATATTTTATTCCAGTTAAAAATTTCGTTACAAGCATATTCATATCAGGACTTAGAGTACCTAAACATAACCATATAAGAAATATTAAAATTTACTTTAAAAATAATATAAATTGAGTTTCAAAATTCTTGCACATATCTGTTTAACATGTGAGCTAAATTCTATATATCAAATAATCTCAAATGTGTAATTATGTATCTCTACTGACCTAATTTAGTGCTAGGAAAGTTCTTCCTCATGAGTCCTCTAATTAGCAATAGATCAGGTAAGATGCTTGGCTCTGACAAAATAATATCATACTCTTTCAGTGAGAATTCTCCACTCTAAAACAATATACATTTAATTAATACTTATTAGAAGTTATAATCTTCACATGCTTGTTAATTGCATTATATTAAACAGTATATTGACATTATAAAAACAGTATATTATTTTACCTGAATCTGTTTTATTAATTCTTTACCACCAGCATACTGAGCTCCAGCTGTTCTTGCTATTTGCTGCACTTCAGGTGATTTACAAAACGCTAATATTTTTCTGCTTTGACCATGATCGAATGAATGTGGCACACATGCTATTCTTGTGAAAGCAGGGACAAATTTTGTTTTCTTTGAACCCTAAATAACACAAATTTACATTCAGCATACCTTCATGTATGTGCATTATAAATTTTTTTATATACTAGACGCTCTTTTCTTTTACCTGCATATCCAATTCTATGAATGCATTTAGAAGTGCATTTGGTAAATTGTACATAGTAGGATGATGTATTTCACGATGACTCTGTATTGCTTCTTCAAATGAATAAATTTTCCATTTGTGAAATTGTCCAATCCAGACATTATCCAGCGGATCTGGTTTTTTACTATCATCTAATATAATATTCCCTTGTTTGGCCTTGTTTCGTTTATCAGAACTAGTATCACATAAAGAAATAATATTAATATACAACTAAAATTAGTCAAATATATTAAAATATATTAAAAAATACTTACAATACTGCTTTTCTCTCCTTGTGTGCCATAAAACCGAGTTTTTGAACAACCACTTTGACTTTTTTCTTCCTCGCTTTCTCTCTTGTACCTTTTCTAGCAGCATAATTTCGTGCTTGTAAAAAGCCAATAGGACTAAGGCACGTCACATGTCTTATGTATGTTGAAGAAAAATTTAGTAACCAACCTGCAAAGAAAAAAGCTGCCATTACATACAAAATAAAATGTAATGTTGCTTGATTTATTGTGTCATTTAAAAAAGTATATAACTTGAAGCTATGATAACTTTTGATAAAAAATACAGAGATCTCGTTATTATTAATGCATTAATAATAATCAAAAAAACGTTTAGTCAATTAACTTACTATAATATTACGCTTTCACATTATTAAAGAAATATTTAAAGGAAAAAATATAAGACACGTACCGCTAATGCCGTGCACCGCCATGTTTTACCAAGCAGTTAGTTCAAAATTCACAGCGGGGATTTTCATTTCGAGATCCTTTGCCTCGAAGCGTTGGATTGACCAATCGGCACAAAAGGAATAAAAATATCTCTATTTTGATTGGTTGTAACATCCGATTGAGTGCAACGCTTCGAAGCATTAGCCAATCAGAGTAAAGAAATTTTTACTTTTTTGTTTTCATACGCGCATGCTCTATCCCCACTATTACTTCTATCTCTATTCTCGGGATATTTCCGAACGTAGCTTCGCTGCCCAATGATCAGTGATGTCGGAGAAGACGCGAGTGGAGTATGGCTCTAGTGGGGAAGATGGGGATAGTGGGGGATAACTCACACAAGCGGGTTCATGTACATACGTGTAAACTCGGCGTTTGCGCGTTGCTCGCAGATTCCGCTTATGTGCATTATTCCCTACGTTATGGCTGTGTGTGCTCGCGTCTAAAAGTTCTGACATCATTGCTGCTGAAATTACGCGCTATAAACCTCTGTAGAACGATGCTGAATGTGTTGCACGGGTTTGGGTGTTTTTTTTTCCGATCGGAATGTTAGGGAGACTCTCGAGGGTCTGTGTGACAAGTATTGTACGTAGCGTGCGATTATCGGCGGTATTTACTCGCACCGGGATCTCTACATAGGTTTTCGCATTTTTACAGCGTTACGCGGGGACCAGCTGCTGCTGCTCGGCTCAAAATCTGATGTTTTGCGCCACGTTGCGGCGCGTTTTTTCGCTTGGAAATACGTGATATTAACGATGAGACAATCGCGCGTCATCTCCCAGATCGTGGGTTCTCCCGCGCTCGTCAACAAAAAGGCGGCGTAACCTCCAATGTGTTGTTGGACACTCATCTGACATAAAACAACAATTGGGACCTAAGATCGCTAGATAGACTTTGCCCCGGAACGCGACGTATCTTCAGCCACTCGCCAGCCGAACTTTATTCATCCGCATAATTCTCTTCGTCATCCTCGTCTTTGTAATATTCGCTTTACAATTAATTTGTAGGCTTTTAAATTTTCAATGTACTCTTCTGGTGCGTGTAAATTAATTCGTAGCCTGTTTCGCTCCAATATCGCGAATATGAATACATTGAGCACTGTGAATAGCGGCAGCGACAAACGTCTGCCAGAAACGACTGTCCAAACTGTGGCACAGAACTTGACTACAATGCAAAATGTACAGAATGTGCAAAATGTACAAAGTGTGGTTCAGAGCAATACACAAAATATTCAGCCTATCCAGACTATTGTCGGATCAGTGGGAACACCCGGCAATTTGGTAGGCAAATCTGTATCACTGGATATAAATCCGAAGCTGTCCTTAATGAAGCCTGTGACACCATCGGGCGCTACCTCATCTGTAGAAACCAGTAAAATAACAACTACGGTAATACTAGTGTGTCAAATCTGTATAATAAATATTAGTTATTTATCACAAATTTTTTTACTTTACATGATAGCAGAATTTGTTTTGATTTATTTATTCTGCATTATATAAATATAAAGTATCGGACCAAGTGGAAGATCTATCTAATCAAAATGCACAACTGCTATTGACAGAATATCTTTTCTACTGAGTAAATGTGTTTGACAATGAATAGGTTTGGAGTCACAATTGGCCTTTCAACAGGTTATGTGATTCTAAAGACTCTCATGTATTCAATCTCAGAATTACAAGATGTGAGAAAATGTCAACTACACCAGGCCTAAGGAGACATGTTTATATTTTTGGTCGATCCTGATATGCAAAATATACAAATCCCCAAGGGTTTCTAGGATCCTCACGATCCTCAAGTGTTCCTAGGATCTAAGGCTTTAGAAACAATCTACTAAAGCTTCATGATTAGAATAATGGGTTAATGTCTTAATTTTATTTTTAATCAATTAGAAGTTTTTTCCCTAAACATCAATGATTTAAGTATATTATATAATAAATAAATTTAAAAATATCTTAAATAAATATAATTTAATAAATTTGTACATAAATAATATACATATAAATTTAAAATATTTAACTTCTTCAAGGATATTTACACACATGTATAAATTATGTTTGACATATAAATTATATTTTAGTATATCAAATCCTTTTATAAATAATTAATGCACAATGTACATTATTTTCTTAAAAATTTTAAGCATTTAATTTTTCTATTTTTTTTAAAATACTTATAAATATATTTTGGAAAAAATATAATTACAAAAAAAAGGATGAAATAATGTTTTCCAATTTCAATTAAATTCATCCCTGAAAAGGTTAAATATAAATTTAAAAATAACTATTGATAATTTACTTTTCTTTATTAAGCATGAAAAGTGTATCAACACTATATAAATAACTTTATTTACATAGTATTTTAATACTATAGATCAGTATATTTTGTCATATAAGTTTAATAATAATTTTGTTATTTCTCTTCTCAGTTATGTTCTATAGGACCTACAGTGAAAATTATATCACCAGGAATGTTAAATACTGTGGACCGGCAAAACCAACCACAGACACAGCCATTAGCACAACAGACAGTCAATATGCCAGCCACATACCATGTACCACGAGGAGCTGCAGCAGTTGCTAATATCTCTGCACCTAGATCAACAGTTGCCACTCCCATCAGAGCAAATACGGGGCAAACTGTGCCTACTACTAGACCAGGGTAGATATATTGAATAATAAATAAATCGAATTTAATGATAAAACAAATGAACACAAAACAAATAGAATTTTAAATATGCTTACATTTAGAGATAGAGAATAAGACAATCTCTCATTGAGATTCATTGACAAAGATAATGATATAATTTTTATTAAAAAAAATTTGAATAATTGAATAAACTATTAATAATTCTAAACTGATAATACTACAATAGATGTACTTTAAAAAAATACTAGATATTACTAATATTTATGTCTAATAATTAGTAAATATTTTTGTTTAAATTCTTCTAAGGAAACAAGCCAACATGTACATCTTTTTATAATAAATTGGCAAATATATAAAAACATATATGTAAATTATTTTATATATAGGCAAATCTATTGAATTCTTATATGTATTTTTTTTTAATAGTAATGTACCCATCTCTAATCCTCAATGGCAATCTAAAACATCCGTCGTATATGCGCCAAGTGTACCACAAAGGCATTCTGCACCTCCGGTCAGCAGAGTCTCCAGGCCAGCTACTTTATACACAGGACAACAGACACGACTAATGACGCCAGTCAGTCAAGGAAGGCCTGTTCAAGCCATGGTCACTGGTAGTCCGTCCAGATTAATAGCGCCTATCTTGCAAACGAATAATATTACCAGACTTCCAGTTGCACAAAGCAGACCACCGACACCACAAGTAATAACTGTGTCGCAAACTTCACAACCTGGAAGATCATCGACACAAACCATTCAAGTAAATTGTGTGATTTAAATATATAGAAATGTACGATACACACACACATACACACAGACATTTTTAATTTTATGTTTTTACACTTTCAAAAACTTACAGTTAGATAATGTAAGTTTTGAATCATAGATATGTATTTGACCCGGAAATGAAGACATATTTAAAAATGAAAATATGTACAATTAATATATTTATAAATTCTTCTATTATTTTTAGCCCAGTCAATCTAACAAGCCTCTAGCCACATCAGGTACTACAAAGCGTATAGCTGTATCAGCACCCATAGAGACGACAAATATTAATAGAAACACTAGTTCGGTTACCATCGGTTCGGTGGAAGCGCCAGGACGACAATTGTCGATTAACACAGTAGCCGGTCCCTCGACTGGCGCCGTTAGCCACATTGTTATTCCTTCACAGCAGGTCAGTACATATGAGTTTTTTATAATATATAGAAAATTGCTTTAATTAATAAGTAAACTGTGTGAGTACAGATTCAACAACAACCAGGTGGACCACGTGTTGTTCAAACCGTTGTAACATCTCTATCAAGCTTCAGTACAGTATCACAAGTGGGCACGATTACAACAACCGCGAATACGCAATCGAACGCGATGCGTATATTACAAACAGTCCCAGCCGCTGGTACAAAAATCACAGGAATGTCTCTGCATCCTCTGCCCATAGTACCGGTTAGGACTGCACCGACACCAGTTAAAGCTACTACTGCACAGCCACAAAATATCGGACAAACCGTCCAGATTAAGCCAGCGCAACCAGCTAGCTTACGCATATCATCCACCAACAGCGGCACAGCTACCAGTTCTACACAGCCGGTTCAAGGACAATATATAACTCCGCCGCATAACACTACTACATACTATTCCTTTGAGACTACAGGTAAAATGATGATTTAAGTAGACTGGCAAATGAACCAATCTTCTAAATTTCTTTCATATCTACAATAAAAAAATGCTTAAATTATTGTACTGTATTTTTCTTTTCAGGGGCATACTCGCCATTTCGACAGGGTTCAATGCAGCCTGTAAGATTAGTCGTTGAACCAGGAGGATATGAAGAACCTCATGGTAAACCTAATGCATCTCCTAGACCAAGCATTTTAAGAAAAAGAGATCATGACAATTCACCAGTGAAAGGTATGATTATGTCTATTGCTTTAATTAAATTTATTGTAAATTTAATTAAAGCAATAACAGTATATTTTATAAAAAATATTACATATAAATGATGATAAGAAAAATATATATATAATTAACATGTAAAATGTTATTAATGCTCTCATGACATGTTAAACATTTTCTTAAAATACTTTCTTACTGGTTTGTAGTGGTAGAATATGAACAACTTTTAATTTTATATTGGCAATAACCTATATTGATCTTGTGTACATACATATCAGCAAAATATTTACATATGATAGCTATCATTATTTATATATAACTTGATGTTTATGATTAGTTAGATAGATATTTGCTAAAGTAAAAGCAATAAGAATAACATAGAAAATGTAAAATAAATTTTCTTCATCAGGTGTAGCTAAAAATTTAAATCCTGTACTGGCATCTCTACCATCAAGTAGATCAATTAGTCCACCGTTGTCACCGAAAGGAGATTTGGATGGTGGTGGATGCCAAAGTTCCGGATCTACGACCGTATCTGCTACATCCTCACCTGGTCTTGACGAGGAACCCGAACAATCGAGAATTACTATCAATCCTACTATAGAAATGTCACCGAGAAAAAAACCACGTAAACAACAACTTACAGGCGTAGAATTAACTGAACCTAGATGTACAGAGGAAGAGATGCAATTTATTACAGAAGAGAAAATGAAAAAGGAAAGCAAAGAAGAATCAAAAGACAAGTTTTCTGACAAGAGACAAGTCTCTAATGTACAAAGTGACATTAAATCATCTAATCAACAAACAGAAAACACAATAAGGACACGGCCTATTCCAAGTTTGATAGGTTTGTATATGTAAACATTTTGGTTACTATTGTCTATGTGTGATATGAAAAGGGAGGGATAATTTCAGTTATAAATTTTGTTTCTATATATATTCAGATATTGTTTGTTTCAAGGCTCTTCTTGGAAAAATAAATGGAGTGTTAGATTGCACCATTACAGAAGACCTAGTGATGTTCGACCTCGCGAAGAAAGAAGACCTACAGTTGCTGAATTGGCACAACAGAAACATGTCTTACAGAAATTGAATGGGTGGAAAGTTTATCATCTCACTACGCAAATGGAAGACATTGCAGATCTTGAAAAACAAGTATGAAAAGAATATTGATTTGTCATATTATTTGGAGATTTCTTCCAGTTTGCACAAGTAGTAAATAAAAATAATTTCTGTATTGTACATTTCATTTAGGTACATGAAAAATTAAAAACTACATTAATGCTGCTGGAATCACAACAAACTGTTAAAAATAAACATAATGATGGATTAGAGCGTGTAAATGAACTGATTAAGGGAAATATGCAGCGTAGTAGTTTAATTAGTGAGGGAATGAACGAAGCACGCACGCAGCTTGTCACTATATTTCAACATAAGGGTCCTATTACCGATCTTTTACAACGTTGTGGTAATAAACGAGCTCAGAAAAAAAGGGACAAATAAGAAGCAGTCATCAATAGCTAATAAATATGTATTTATAAACGAACTTGTGGAAGAAAAAGGAATATATTTTTATCTGTGTCACAGATTCTAAATATATAATATATAGGAATAAATAAATGATTTTATAAGTCTCGAAGACACATGACTATCACTATGTTTATAATTTTATTATATAAATATGTTTTTATTTTAATATAATGCTTCTTATATTCTCGCCATGTCTATTTATTTAATTTTTGCCTCTAATTAATTTATGCATTGATATAAAGTTGATATCTGTTTAGCAGCCTCATCTCTTAGATAATTAAAACATTTGATTCAAATGAGGTGAATTCTATATATTGTTTGTGATGTTGTCATGGAAATAACAGATCTTGGAGATATTTGATACAGTAGAAACCTATCATATATGGATATAACAATTCTAAAGTGTGCACTTCATCAAAATCGACAAACAAATTTCTAATTATATAATATGTGGGGATATAGCTATCCTCTGGATCTACAAAATGAAGTGACTCGGAGAGAAGATCAAATTTTAGACAATCTTGAAGTATTGATTGTAGGTGCTGGTGATGCACGACATATCATGAAGACATTAGCATCATCTTATATGCATCCCAGTCAAAGTATCACATATCATGTTATTGAATCAAGTTTGGAACAAGTTGCTAGATCAATACTTTTATTGAGCATTTGCTTAGAGAAAAATCTAGGTATGTATGAATAATAATGAATCTATTCTACTAAATAGAAAAAAATATGCTGCATAATTACTATAATGTGAAGGATTGCAAGAGGCAACGCGATACTACTTGGAGATTTTAGGAAATACCCTTTTGAGACCAGCTACAGCTAAATATTTAGCAAAATGTACCAAGCAATTGATTGATATTCCAACTTGTACTATTGACTGCCCATGGTTGTCATTGGAAAAATTTAAACACAAAGATAGAGATAATTTGGAATCCATTTTTAAGTAAGTTAATATATATAAAGATGTAATATAGTGAAAGAATATTTAATTTCAAATAATGCAGATAATTAATATATGTTTTCGAGTTTATGTAGCATATTTATGTAGCATATTTTTTAAGGTTTTGGTCACGTGCAACATGTGAAGGTGTTCCTATAATAAATTATTGGGATCGCAGAATTAGAAAATCTCTGAAAACGCGATACGATTGCAAAGAAGGCGTTTTCGATTGGGATTATTACATGGTTTTAAAGCCAAGATGTATTAATAATCTTACCATACAAGAATATAGGTATATTTGATAAGCATATAATACAAAAATTGAATGCAAATGCTACTTTAAATAAAATTATATGATTTCAATATCCAAATTACAAAAACATATATTTAATGAACAATTATGATTAATTAGATTTTGGAGAAATAATGGAGTAGCATTTACATGGCTTGAAGGTGAACCAGCCAGGAGCAATCCGACTCTATTAAATAACATAATACAATATGGACCTGGTTTTATACATTATGCGTATTTAGGAGACATTGTAAATGGTCCCTATTTTACTTGGGCTGTCACTGAAAAAAAAGAGGACAAAAAGTAAAATACACTTGCGATAAGGAAAAATTATCTCTTATGAATTAAGATGATTAAATTGAGCATTTTGAAGGTTTAGGGCAACCGATATTGCAGAGCGTGAAATAATGCGTGCAATTCATGAGATAAGAACGAAAGAACCTCTGTGTGAAGATTATGTCGGCGCCCATAGAGATGCCTCGATTTTAAATGGCATTATAATAAACGAAATGCCGGACATTGAAACAGAAAACGAATCATGGACAAATGTCGGAGATAAATCTAAATTAGACGACAAAATTTCTTGGGTAGAAATACCAAATCACAAGGTGCGCCTTGTATCACTATCATAATAGATCAAAAATATTTTATATACGAGTTTCATTTTATCTTTTTTAGATAATCTTTCATCCTGCAACATCATTAGAGCTCTTTAAATCTAAATACGAATATGTAAATAGATTTCATTTGGTTTGGATAGCGCATAATATGACAAAACAGTTAGAAAATCTGGCGCCATTAGCATCAACGGGTGCACCGGTAATTGTAGAATCACGTAAATGTATGGCGGATTTGCGCAAAGAAGATTTGGAGAACTTTACTGAAGAACTGAAAGAGCTCGCACAAAAAAATGGACTTCGCTTAGTTCATGACTTTGATTCTAATGAACATACTTTTGCCCATTTTTGCAAAAATTAAGAAATCAATTGTGACTAATATTATTGTAAATATGTATGTTTTTTAAGTTTTTAATTGAATAAGAAGAAGGTAGCTTTAATCAATAGTTAATATAAATTTTATATTCAAAAAAGAATGTCAGTTTCAGACTGAGTTGGGAAACATTAAAAATTGTTTATCTATCCAGATGTTTATTAGAATAATTCAAATCAAAGTTTCTCTTAACAATAAAAAGAATTTTTTTTTATTTTGTGTTAATTTATTATAATTTTTAAAATTTCATGGTTTTATTTGTAAAATAGAGATACAATTTATTTTATTCTATTTTATGAAAAAACCTAATATATGAGAGATATCATAAAAAAATAATCTTTTTATTATTTCATTATACATATATCATAGTATTATGTACATAGTATTATATACAATATTATGTAAATAATCTTTCTGTATAATACAATAGTTAAATTGTCATTATTCCAGTAAAATATACAAAATATGTATATAAATGTTTATCAAATATCTATAATTAATATTGTATTTTTTAAATATTTTTATACTGTCTAGTTTTTGAGTTATTTCAGATTGTTCTGATTTTTCTTTCTCTCCTTCATATTCCAGCAAACACAGAATATTGCAGCAATATTGCGGTAATATTACAACATTGCAGCAATGTTGCAGCAATATTCTCTGTTTGCTGGGATATCACTTTATAGGAAATTAGAAAATTCTAATTTTAAAAATAGATATGATAATATTAAAATCAACCAAAACGGATAATATGCGAGAATGACATGTTTTTATTTTATGAAAAAGAGTGTTGTCTATATGCAATAAACAACAATTCAGTATTGCACAATCATGTTTTTACACTATCTCGTAATCCATTGGTGTCACATATAAATGAAATATCTCAATATTGTATCAAACTTGTAATGAAATCACTAATGTTTTTCTATTCATTAACTACCGTATTACTGAGTGAAGCAAGACACAAGCTTAGTAGTATAGTACTTAAAAATCGCAGTATCTTTATAAACTTACAGCAATTTTTTGCCGGTATATTTCTTAAGATCGTATTGTTCCAAATTTCTTAGCTACTTAGCTATATAAAAAAATAAGAACGAAAAGATAAAAATTCGTCTATCGACTCTACAAATTCAAATACATACCTGATAACTGTTACAAAGCCGATTGAATTCTACGAAATTTAACTCGTCTCTTCATTTTCCTTGTCCGATTCTCTGTTTCTTTTCTGACAATACCTCTGGTCCTTGTCGAAAACGTGCCGCAACCTTTTTGGCAATAATTTATCGTTATCTCTTTTCTTTCGTCCCGACATTTTTCACTAATCATAAGTCCAATTGTTTTTCCACTGTACATACACTATATTTAACTCAACTGGAGTCGCATCCGATACAAGTGACGTAAATACACGCTTATAGCACGTGGAAAGGATATGCATTGGAGGGTATACGCATGTGATGCATGCAATATCATTGTGTTCGGCGACCATTACTTTACCATCATCGTAGACATCAACTGACGTATGATTTGTTTTTCTTAAAATTCCACAGATCATTAATTGCGGACTTTGGGTCACTTTCACAGATGTCTAGACATTTATTACATTAATTAAAATTGTTTTAGAACGAAAGGGAAATTTTATAATAAATAATTATATAAAATGGAAAAGGTAAAAATGACGGAGCATGATTCATATTCAACAGAAGATGACGATTCTTTAAACATTGCTTCAAAATGTTGGGAACGTATTACGGATGCTGCTATCAAGGTACGAAAAATTTTTTGACAAGTCACGTGTTGAGGTTATAACATGACTTAATACTTGTCTGCTGCATAATACTATTTTTGTATTTTTCTGTCATAATATTATTTTTCTTTTATATTTATTATTTAATATTAACTTAATAATCATGTTTTTTTAGACTGGTTACAGAGAAGGAATACAGGACGGAGCAGACTCTATATTACAAGAAGGATTTGATTTAGGTTATAAAGATGGTTTTGAGACAGCTTTTAAATTGGGAAAATATAAAAGTCTAGCTACTATTTTAACACCTACTTTAAAACATCCTACAGATATAGCCACAGTTTTAGATAAAACTAGACGAGGTGCGTGTTGGATATGTATTATGGAATCACAAAACAAAATTGGCAATATACATGAGAATGTTCAATTTTCTGAAATCTTAAATAATCAGAGAATACATTCTGCAGCAGTTATAAGTAGGCTACATGAATATTTTGAACCAATCTTAAATGAATCTAGTATCGAGACAAATTAATTTTTGAAGTAGACAGATTCTAACATAATAAAATTTGTGTAAAAATAAAGATAGAATATCCTTAAATAAGAAAAAAGAATTAAAATTATAATACTTTTATAAGTACATTAACATGTAAAAATTAATTTCCCTATATAAATTTTTATTAAGGAGTTTGAGTAATTATACGACTCAGTTATTACAGAAAATTAGTAATAATAAATGTTTTTATAAATATAATCCTTCAGGAGAACCTTCTTTCTTTCGATACAATACGCTTTCCTTAGATTTCTTGAAATCATCACTAGTAACCTTCATACGACGTTCACGTAAAGCCATTAAACCAGCTTCAGTACATATTGCCTAAAAATTTTATATTTTAAATTAATAAAATAATGAAGACATATTTGTATAAAACATATGTGTACAACAATGCGTGTGCAATTAACTTTTTAATAGAATTTTTTACCTTTATATCTGCACCAGAGAGATCATCCTTTGCCATGATTAATTCTGCAAGGTTCACATCAGGTGCCAAAGTCATTCTGCTCGTGTGAATATTGAAGATTCTTCTTTTGGTTTTTTCATCTGGTAGAGGGAATTCTATTTTTCTATCGATACGACCAGGTCTGATTAAAGCAGGATCTAAGGTCTCTATTCTATTGGTAGCCATAACCACTTTCACATCACCTCTGCTATCAAAACCTGATAATCAAAAATTTTTCTATTTAATATATATTTCAAGAGATATACATTTTGTATTAAAAAAGAGAGAAGAAAAAAAATTAACATACCATCAAGTTGATTAAGTAGTTCCAACATAGTTCTCTGAATTTCCCTTTCACCGCCACTATTGCTATCATATCTCTTTGTTCCTACTGCATCTATTTCATCTATAAAAACAATGGAAGGAGCATGCTCTTCAGCAACTCTGAAAAGTTCTCTCACAAGCTTTGGGCCATCACCTAGATATTTTTGTATAAGTTCAGAACCAACAACTCTCAAAAATGTAGCTGATGTTTGATTAGCTACAGCTTTGGCGAGCAATGTTTTTCCTGTTCCAGGTGGTCCATAAAGTATCACACCCTTTGGAGGTTTAATACCCATTTCTTCATAATATTCTGGATGAGTTAATGGTAGTTCTACAGATTCTTTAATTTCCTGAATTTGGGTATCAAGACCTGAAAATTCACAAAATATCTATGAATTGTTATTATATTAATATTTTTATATTTAATTTATTTCAAAAGCAGGTCTTTTCTTTTCGAAAATTTGATTATATATTTATTATATATTTCATTATATAAAACTTCAACATTTTTTAAATTAAGTTTTTTATATTTAAATTGTAAGTTCTATTTAAAAAAAATAATAATCAAAAGTTTCTTTATATTGTTTTTAGAAATTCCAAATTAAAAATAATGAATCAACAATTTTAATAAAATATTAATTATAAATTTATCAGAATATAAATATAGATAAATATGTATAATATACCTCCAATATCAGTGTAGGTCTCCTGAGGAGCCTTTTCAAGCTTCATCACTGTAACCATAGGATCTGTATCATCTCCTAACACACCAACAACAGCATGAACTTTATGATTTAATAATACAGAACAACCAGGTTCCAGTTGATCTTTATCTACAAATGACAAGATGGATACATAATGCTCAGAGCCAACTGAAGTGGACACTATTGCATGATTGTCATCTATAATTTCTTCCAATGTTCCAACAGACATTGGTGTTCCACGAAGATCATCTACTTTCGATCTTTCCTCTTCATTTTTCTCTTCTTGCGGTTTCAAACGTTCCTGATTCCTGATAAACTCTTCCTCCATCAATAAATAATCTTTTATACGTTCAAGTTTTAATAGTTTTAGTCTACAACGTGTATGAGGAGTCACTTGAGGCAGTTTTAGAGCTGCATCTGGTCCTTTAGTACGTCTCTTCTTTTTACCCACTCTTGTGGGAATTGGTGGCTCATATTTTTTCTTCTTATCCTTGTCATCCTTCTTGTCCCCTCCACTACCACCACTGCCAGATTGGTTTTGACCCTGTAAAAATTTTATTACATTTATTATTTATTTGAAAATAGTGCAGCACAAAACTCCATGTATATATTACTAGAGAAGAACTTCAAAATTAAGAATATATACATTAATGTATTTAAGAAAAATTATAATTCTTACATATATTCATTTAAACAATAAATTTTTACAACTATTGCAAATAAACATTAATTTATTATGCAACAAGAAATATTCGTTTTATGGTTAAATTCAATTAATTTATACAAACTTTTTTTACATAAAAATTTGAAGATAAAGTAACATTTGAAAAATGACTATATAACCTACAAGAAAAAGTATAAAGTAATTTATATGGTACGTTCAACAGAAACGTGAATTAAGATCGTTTTGTTCCATAAAAGTCTAGGTTTCAATTGGACGTACCTAATAAATGCAAAAAAAAATAAATATTAGCAACATTAATTACTTTCTATTGTTCTAAATAGGAAATGTTATTTTACAGCAATAAATAATAATAGTTTTTAAACTTTTGACAGACTTACCATTTTTCGTCAACGCTTGTTGACTATTCCTCGTTCCTCAAAAGGGCGAAGTCATTCGCCAAGATTCGATTGTGCGCTGTCGATAAAAGAATATCGATTTTCCCACCATCCTGTTCCCGATCGATAGCAAATCTCGATTGCAAATAAATAAATACTCACATTCTTTCTAGTTCATTCAATAAAATTCTTTAAATTTACTAGAAAAATAAAATAGAATAAAATATATTTAATTTTCAAGCACAAGAACAATGCAATATATCGAGAAATGTGACAATTATTCATCTTTCCTCATTTCTAGAATTATATTTTACAATAATTTTCTGATATAAATATTAAGGAATTTTTATTAAAGAAATTTAATCAGTCGTTAGCTAATGTCATATAACGTATTATTTTTATTATTAGCAATATTTATAATCCTTCTAATCACAGTACTATTGAAATGATACAAAATTAAAGGTTTTAATCAGCGTGCTTTATATGCGTTTCATCGTTAATACAGAATATCCAACAATGTACAATGTATTTTACAAGAGACTAAAAGAGCATATCTTTACGATTCATTGATTATTGACGATGTAAAGACATAGAGTGATAAGAACATTGCACGATACATCGATAACACACGTTGTTATCTATATATGTATCTTTCGTGCAGATTTTTCTCAATTTAGCGATATTTCAAAAAATTCACACAGAATTTGGCAGTGTATCCGTTAACGTATTATACGTTAACGTATCGTTAAATGCCCCACACTCTATGCTAAAACATATATATTCCACGTTAGTTCGTTTTTATTTAAAAACAATTTTGATTTATATAAGATCGCTAATATCCCACTTGTTTCGAGTGCAGAAAGATTTCCAATGAACAGATTCGGAAATATTCGGTATAACGCAAGTGCAAACTATAACATATTATCTTTGAATTTTGTAAAATCTATTAAATTGCATTATATATTCATGGTCATAATTCAACAATGCTAAACATTTAGATTGGTGAGATTTTATTTTACTTTCGATCTACATTTAATAAAGTATTTGTCTAGTTCGATTTTCATTCCTCTGTGCTCACTTCTCTGCTCAATCAAGCATGATGTGAGAGAATAAAAATATATATCGTGATGTTTGCATAAAACATGACTAACGATTATGCAATCACCTTGAACGATTGCCATATCGAAAAATTCTGATAACAATAATCGTTCAATATAATCAGGTTAATGTACAAAGTAAAAATGGCCCGATATATTTTCATTGTAAGAATTCAGAATCATAGACATAAGACTAATACGTTTATTGTTATTTATAACTGCACTTGCCACATCATTCCACGTTCAGCTTATAGAGATTGCTAGATTCGAAACGAAATTTCGAAACGTTTCTTAACGTTTCAATGATAAGATTACCGAACCGGGAAGACTCCCTGCCGAGAATTTTTACGGACTGTTACATCGCGCTCTTGTTTATTCATGGTGATTATAAAAATTGTCAATACACGTGTGACAAACGTGTGTTCCAAGTTATTAAAGGCCAGCCAAAATAATCCTAGGATCTTCTACAGCATCTTTGATCTTTCTTAGGAACATGACAGCTTCGCGTCCATCGATCAATCGATGATCATATGTCAAAGCTATGTACATCATTGGTCTAATAACAACCTGGGAATATAAAGTGTTTATTAATTGATAATGATTTCGACAGAAATTATAATTACGAAAATTGCTGAATCTTAAGGATTTTGCTGAACTTTACCTGCCCCTTAACAGCAATCGGTCTATCGAAGACGCCATGCATACCGAGAATAGCACTCTGCGGCGGATTAATGATGGGAGTTCCCAATAACGAGCCGAAAACACCACCATTGCTTATCGTAAAGGTACCACCATCCATGTCCTCGACGGTGATCTTTCCTTTCCTGGCTTTATCGCCTAACGCAGCCAAAGCAATCTCGATTTCAGCGAAATTCTTACTTTCTACACTACGTAGCACCGGCACGACGAGTCCCTTGGGCGTTGCGACCGCCACGCTAATGTCTACGTAATCTCTATATACTATGTCGGTGCCGTCTATTACGGCATTTACCACAGGTTGATCTTTCAAAGCGTAAGCACTGGCCGCGACGAATGGACTCATGAATCCGAGTTTGATACCGTACTTTTTCGTAAACGACTCTTGATGCGTTTTTCGAAACTCCATAATACAACTGCAAATTAATAATATGACATACGTTAAGTAAAAAAATAAAATCTCAAATATGTCGAGCGTCATGAATAAGGTCTTTAAATACAAATTATGAGCAACATAAAATCTGCGATCAATAGGATTACCTCATATCAATTTCGTTAAAAGTAGTCAACATAGCATTTGTGTTTTGTGCTTCCTTCAGACGTTCCGCGATACGCAGACGCATTCTGTTCATCTTCACCCGTTGTTCTGTCCTGGTGCCGATTATCTCGCGCGTGTAATCGACAGGAGGTAATTGAACTTTCGCGCCTTCCAGCGACTGAAAATACATCGTTCTCATTATAATGTCATAATAATACTCTTGAGAAATTACTACTACGTATTTTATTTGACATTTACCTGCGCGTGTTTGATGGCTGCAACCGGCATCGATACGATAGGCGGTTGCGGAGGTGGTGGCTTAGCAGCGGGAGGCGGAATCGGAGCTGCCGCGGGTTCCGGCGATGGCGGAGGTGCTGTCGCGCTAGGTGTTGGTGCTCTTGAAGGTGGCGGCGGTGGAGGAGGAGGTGGAGCCGCAGCAGGCTTCGGCGCTTCTGCCGCAGGTGCGGCTGCAGCTCCACCAGTTGCACCGATGTCGATGTTACATAATTTTTGACCTGGCTTCACGGTATCGCCGTCATTAACAAAGAGTTCTTTTATGACACCAGCTCCAGGCGATGGAACAGCAACCGAAGTCTATGGACAATTATAAATGATAATATTTTGAAAGTATCGCGATTATTTTTTTTTTTCATGTTATGATAAAGAAATAAGAAACTGAGACCTGCATACCTTGTCTGTTTCAATTTCACAAAGAATATCATCTTCTTTGACCTGGTCGCCCACCTTCTTCTCCCACCTCACGTCGCCCTCGCTTACACTTTCGGCAAATGCAGGGACTACAACTTCCCTGATCTCCCCTATTTATAGATAACACAAATTATACAAAAGATAAATTCAAATCTTTATTGTATATGTGACTTTTGAGAAAAATATAATTAAGAATTTAAAATACTATACTCACATAATGCTGAAGTTGAATGTACATATCTCGCTTGATTTATCCAATAACAGTTTGCCTTATATTTTCTACATCTACAGGCAAAAGAACACTTTATAATCTTTTCTACTTTATCCTTCTTCCATATTTGAAGCAATCAAAAGCAATTATTAGCGCAGTATTGAAGAACTAAGATTTCCAGGCATGTATATAGAACGTTATTAAACTTCTATATTAACAATATTTAAAAAGCAAATACATCAAGACAAAATAATACACACAATGTTACTTACAATGAGATTTTGATATTGGGCACATGTTCAGCATGAATAATTACAGTGCATCCTATAAAAATAATTTGATATAGTTAACAGTTTTCTCTGTTCCAGTGGACTTCTCTTAATCGGTGTAATTTTTTTCATAGCTGCTACTATCTTAGAATCTTCATTATATCTTGTCTTAATATATCTTCAATTAATCTTACCTTGACTATACAATGATCCCGTGACCTGTAAAAAGAATGAATTGGTTTAATCTTATTTCAGCAATGTTGCGATTCACACATTCAAGACACGACAGCAATCCAGAGAAAAACAGCGGGTTCAGTCAGAAAAACGACGATCTTATGAAATGACACACAGGTCGAAGATAAAAATAGTCATTGTTCCACCATGAGAGAGAAAGAGAGAGATAAAAAAAAGAGACAAAGAGGACAGTTTTCGACCTCGCAACTAACGATCGAAATGATTAATCACGATATCCACGTGTTTATCGACAAACGCCAGTCTCGTGATTAAGGAGACTCCTCGCGGAGAAATTTTTCAATTGACAGGTCGCGTGAGCAACGAAGGTGTCGTCGAGCGATATGTATATATATATTATGTAATCGTCGTCGCGATGAGAGAAATGGATTGGAAACGTTTCGGCGAATCTCGAAACCGCAATTTTCGACGATACTTCTCGGCAGTTTAATCCGAGAGAGCGGTATAAATATCACCGCAGTCGATCGTGCGATGCGAATAGGGGAGACTCGGGAAAGCCGGAGCATCCGCACGTAATCTTACCTTGGCCCGCAACACGCTACTCCGCATGATTATGCGAGGCGCGAAACGCGAACAGTTGGACAGCATCGCGGCCATCGACAAGAAAATCGTACACCTCGAACGTTCACTCGCGCGTCGGCGAGCAAAAATGACGGCACGCACCGCACGGCTTCTCGCGATGAAGAGCGGAAGGTGGGGACGGTGAGGAGGAAGACGGATAAAGGCTCTTGCACATGGGACGCGTCATCGTGTTTCCGAGGGCGAAAAAGAAATGCGACAGCCAATCGATGTTCAGCTTGTCCGTAAGGGCGAAGGATTGATTGGCTAATTCGCTTTTTGGCACGTGTTGACGCGTCCTGTATGTAAGAACCTTAAGAGAGCGAGAGAGAGAGAGAGAGAGACAGAGTTAGATAACCGGCAACATCTGTCAAAAAAGGATAGCAGCAGATGCTGTATTTATCAGTCTATAAATTATATTAGTCAACAATACTTCAATCTGTTTGTTTTTCTGGTATATTTATTGAGATTCCAACACGTAGAATGAAATACAAGCATATAAAAGAAAAAAAGAAATAAAACATAAAAAATACAATTGAAAGCAAATCTGATCTGAATAGGAATTAACTCTAATACAATTTTTTTAAATTGAGTATTATTGTATTAAATAAAATTTATATACATCTATGGTTCTATGTAATATTTAGTAATTATGTGCAACATGTATATCTAATAATATATTATCAAAACAAGATAGCAACATTCTCTTGCAGATTTTCATTTTTTTGCAATACAAGCTTTTTTTTCTATCTCCTTGTATCTTTGGCGAACAGTATTACTTATCCACATAGATAATTTTTTATTGTAAGTCTCCTCAGAAATACATGTGACAGATATTGCAAACATAATCAATCTTGCATGTTCAATAAACTCTGTTGTAATTTGTTCTGGTATCTTTTGAAATTTTGTATCAAGATAAGGATATCCAGTGACATAAACATAATCAAAAGGTTGGATCTCTTTGCCCAATAGACCACTGTTTGTTTCTGACCACCACTCGTTCTCCAAGATCTAATTTTAAAAACATAATTATTGTATTATATTTATACAATTGCAACAAATTATCTTTCTAAGTAGTATATTTTTCTATCATATTAAATTTTAATAATATAAGATTTATTAATAATTAACAATATATAAAAGTAAAAATAATATATAATTTATTATTATATATATGAAAACTAATTATTTGACGACTTGCAATCATATACATAATTCTCAAACTTACAGCTATATCTTGTAAGGATGTATTACATGGATAGGTGAATCCTGGACGTGTTTCAGGAAATTTCTTTGGATAATTTTTGACTATTTTTGTTTCCTTCAAATTTCCAGCTTGACTCCTGTACTTTTCATCAATCTCCTGTCGTTGTTTTAATAAAAATAGATATTGTTCCAATTTGTAATTAATATCTACCACTCCTGTCCCATCTTCAACTACAATAAGACTGGAGAATTTTAGATATTGGTTCTTGTTTATTATTAAATTTATTATTTATCATATGCTTTGTCTTACTTGTTAAAAACAAATTATTGACATTGCGCTTAACATTTGTAACAATTCCAACTAGCTCAATTTTACGTACTTTAATATAAGGCATATTGAATGGATGAAAATGAATATAACGGCCTTCCTTATAAGGTACTAATCGATATAGCTCCATAATAAGCATTGATGTGTTTAATGTCATTCGTGAATCTGCAATTACAAATTTATTAAAATTTATAGTTACATTTAAGCAAATGTAAATCCTAATTATATGAACATTTTATTATATTGTATTGTATCTTACTAGCATTGACATTAATACCGGGCCATTCTTTTTCTGAGGAGAGGGATTTTTGATAATTATCATATTCCTCTTTATTGAAGGCAATCATACCATTTACTAATTTTTTATCAGACATTTCTCTGAAATGATAAAGTATAATTATGTGAATACATGAATATGTGAACTTTCAAATTTAATCTCAAGATGATGAATGTATTAAAACTAGATTCTTTTATCATTAGAATATTCATTGTAGATTACATTACCAATTATTTTGTAAAAGAATAAAATGTTTATCGATAAACAATTAATAAAATAATTTTAAAGATCTATACATAGAGAAAATCCGCAAAGAAACTCCCGCCAATTTTATATTTGGCATGTTGTGTACATAACTTAAAGAAAATCGTTGTTATTAAACCATATTAAATTCTAATGTTCGTACTAACATTTTTTGATTTATTCAATATTGCAAAAATTATCGATTTTCCTTAATCTCTTGTTTTAATCTGCTTTAAACACATATCAAATACTAACACAAATATCAAGTAGATCTTTATATTCCTGACGTTTTGCTCTCCTTCTTAGAACTTTTTGCACTCGAAATGAAATGAGTGATTGGGTCTGTTCTTTTCAGCTGCACTGCTGCACTAGTGCAATAAGTTAGAAAGAGACAAACATGTTTTCTTTCACTCTAACTAATTGCACTAGTGCAGCAGTGCAGCTGAAAAGAACAGACCCTATATTTCAGCCAGAGAAAAAGTAAAAAAAGTGCAAACAGAAGTTTTTAGTCATGATGCATAAATATCTAGATACGGTAAACTCCATCGAAAATATTTTGAACTCTGACGTTTGAAGCGCGTTCGATTGTCCAATCAGAATAAAGGAATCTTTTCCTTTATCATCCTGATTGGTCAATCAAACATTACTCCCCCTCCCATATAAGTTTTCGAACAATATCAGTAGTGCAAGTCTTTAGGAACGCTTGATGACGTTATGTACGTTAACCACTTTGTAAGATATTTGAATTATCTTATTATCGGGCAATTTTTATTGTCAATATTATTTTTCTGTCCCTTACGACATTAACAAGTGCTAGCAAGAGATAGACAAGTTATAGAAAACATAGACAATTGGTATGATAATTTAAACATTTAAACATCTTACACATACATATATCATAAAGTACGTCGTAATGCCGATGTCTTCTCAGGACGATAGACGCATGTTAGAAGTCCTGCAAAAAACTCACGACGAACTGCAGCGTTATTATATTTTGTTACGGCTGATTAGAGGTGATCTGGAGAAGATAGCAAATAATTTCTCTGCTATAAACAGTGGAGAGTAAGTAATATTTAAATGTTTATAATTAATTCATTAATCCTTTTGTTGGCAGAATGCAGATATTTTTCATTAGATACAGTCAGTTCATTTATCTTATTGTATAACTTCAAAAATCGAGCACAATTTTTAGAGACAAGATCTATAAAAAATTCTGTTTAACAATTATATTATGGATTAAAGATTATTAAGAGAAAAAATTGTGATTAATATGTATTGAGTATTGAATGAATTTTTCATGATTTGTTATTTATGTCGTGAATTTTTGCTATTAAAAGCATATAATAATAAGATATGTAATTGAATAATTTTTTATATAATCGTACATAATGTATATTAATCTCATCAGTGATCTCAATAGTATTTAATATCTTAAAGTTATTCAGAAATTAAAAATATAATTTATTTGGTGCACAAACATGTTACTTAATTTGTTATTGATTATTGTTGAAATCCATAGTATTAATCAAAACTGTTTATACTATATAACCTTTAAGGTTGAATTACACGTATAATTTTATTTTGAATCAAATAATTATATTTGCATTAAGCACTTATTATAAGAACCAATAATTATAATGCATATTATATATTGCAAAGTATATTTTATTTGCTTAATAGCATAACAATGCAGTTGATAGACATGAATTTGTTGTTTCGTTTTCTATGGTCCCTGTGTTTTGATTATATAAATTATATTTATAAGACAACTTTGAGAGAAATGATTTTTATCATTTTTTTAACAATTTTCTTGTATATGACTTATATTACATAAAAAATAAAATTAGGCAGAAATAGAAATACATAATAAATATATGATATATAATATGAGAATAAATGATTCAATTTATAGTGATTGAAATAAATATATGCTTATTTTCCTTCAGGAATGCAAGAATCAATTTGAAAAAAGATACATAGAGTACAAATCTACAAAATTATAGATTTTTTATAACAACATGGAGGCTCGTAAATCTATAGTGAACAAGAGGCTGGAGTCTGTGCTGCACCAACATTCACCAACTTCTTCATCGCCATTGCGAAGAAAGTCTGTTTCTTTCCAAAATCCACCCTCAACTGCTCTCTCAGTAAATGATGATGAAGCGGAACGTCTTGCTCGTCGACGTGAAATTTTTACATCAACACCATTATCTACCACATCTAATACATCCACCAATAAAAGACATTCTCTTGGTTTGGGATTCTTAGCCAATATCCCGGCACCTCAGATGGCCGAGAGCATATCTCAATGCATAAAATTGAACGCTGAGAACAAGATTAACATTAAGAATGCGTTTAGTTTAGAGATGATCGATTTTATGACATATATGATAAAGAAGCAAGACGCCAATATGTCAAATCTACAAGTGGCTAGCACATCTCTGGATGTGAGCACCAAAATTTACGGATTTCGTGTAGATAGCGTGCATACCGAGATACTTAAAATAGTGGGCGGATTAGATAAACAAGCGGTCGACAATATGGAACAAAATGCAGGGGAGCATAGAGAAGACGTGGAAGATGCGGAAGTGAACATGGTACAAAAAAAGAAGAGAAAGAAAGCCAAGCAGAAAATTTTTAGCACTGTAGAGTCTTTACGAGGCAATATCGAAATTCAAAAACCAATGTCGATGATGATAGGAGAGGGAGATTTGCAAACCAGCGACATGCTGTATCAAGCGACGCTACCACATCATGCAAATTCCGGTTTTTATTTGCATCTATATAACGATGTGCTTGTTGATATTGCAGAGAATAAATCTAACTCACAAAATAATTCAGATGTAAAATATAGTATCCCGATAATTGACGACTTCTCGAATCTTGAGATCTGCGCATCATATTCGAACTTCGAATTTCTCGGCTGGTCTGTGGAAGATGAGCCGGAAGAAGATTCGGCTGAGGAAACTGAACATAATGATGATAATAACCGATTTCATTTTGATCTAGAAGCGAGCATAGAACCCGAAGACGATAACAATCCAGTGCCTGAACCAATGAATTACTTTGATTTTCAGCAAGATGACAATAATGTTCAAGGATGTTACCAAGAGGCAGCGAATCGACGTAACGAGAATATTTTGGATACTCGCAACGTTCAAATATTAACGACAAATGCATCCGAATATTCTTTTCTTCAGCCGCATATGAATTTGCATTGGGCCGGGCCGTCTCATTGGAAATTTCGAAATTTTGTAAAACCTTCCAGTGACATCGCCGTCAGCACCAAAGTGGTGGGAGCTTGTATGCAAGCTCCATTGCGCAAGAAAAGACAGATCGAATTGTCATATAATGAAAATTCTGACGTGATTGATGCAAAGTTCGCGTTGAGTCAATCCAATAAATTAGGAGCCAAGACCGCGAAAACAGAATGGAACACTGAGGATCTAATGTTACCGGAAGATGTGCATTACGATATTGCGCAAATGACGAAACTGTACCTAAATTCAAGACTGATTTTAAAACCGCCAAGCAATGGAAAAGAGAATGATAATAATGCGGTAGCCACCATGGATGTGTCAGACAACGAGAAATACGATTATAACAATCCAAACGACACGTTAGAATATTGTCCCGATACGAATAACGGTGATGATTATGAAGAAGGAGGTAGGGATGATTGTAACTTTGAAGATGATGCGTTAGCTGGCCAAAACTTTATCGGTGACAATCTAGTCGCCGCGCCAAAGCTAGCTAATAAAATACCCATTACATATTGTCTCAAGGCGAAAAAGATCGATATGCGACAATTGAAAAAATCTATATGGAAACTGTGTACGAATGATCATGTTGATTTAATAAATATTAACGAGGTAGAGAATACCGAAATAAGTGTGATGAAAGAGAGTAAACAATTTAGCGATATTTACAAGATGTTACCAAAATTATTAACGAAAACCAATATCGAAGCATTGAGCGTGCCGATTTCTTTTATATCCCTGTTACATCTTGCAAATGAAAAAACGTTAAAAATTGATTCTTTACCGGACATGTCTGATATTATTGTCGGAGCGGATTAAAAAAACCATTGCTATGATTTTTGTACATATCAATGAAAAATACTTAATAGGCAATTTTTTATGAAGAATATAAACTGTACAATATATATCATATATTTGCTTTAATTATATACATCGACATATATTCACATAAGCGTAATTCACGAACAAACTCTACATGTGTTTTTTTTTGTTAAATATTGGATTAAAAATTTGGATTAAAAATTAGATTGATTTCTTTGAATTTTTAAATTAGAAATTAATTTTCAGCAATTAAAGCAATGTATAAAATATATATTGTTTGGATATAACATTCTTCATAAAAATGATGCTTATTAAATACTTTCTATTAGTATATACAAGAATCATATTAATATTTTTAAATAAAAAATGACATTAGAACTTAAATAAATATTATAATTAGAATCCTCGTTACATACGTAAAAATATTTTAAGAAATAATAACTAATAATTACATGTGTATATATTTAAATAAAGTTTATTTTGAAGCATTTTGCACAATACTATTCTACACATCTGCTTATGTAAGTAAAATAATTCTGATCAGGATCGCTTTATATATATCTTACAGAGACCAGTTCGTTGAATTAATGTACACAATGTGAGCTGCCAGAATTTTTTCAAATCGAGCTTATTACACATTAATGTTGCGTTTAAACCGCGATTTTGGTCATTCTGTTTAGTGACTAGGTTAATATATTTAAGTCATGCAGTAAATTTAAGTTTTCGCTAATAATAAAACAGCAAATATCAAAAAAACGTCTCGTCGCTATACGGAAATTTACACAAACGACGTATCGATTTATGTAAATGCAATAGCATCCGCTTTGGCAGTATAATTTTCTGTTCTCTGATTTAGTAACAATGGAATTTCTTTTTTTATATATTAGATATTATAACTTAGGTCTTTTTTAAAAATCCACATTATTGTTACAGTCAAATAAATACATATGCGCATAAACTCACACGTTATAAATAATGTATATAATATATATATATAATATATATATATAAAATATATATAAAATATATATAAAAATATATATATATATAATATATATATATATATATATATATATATATATATATATATATAATCTTTCGAAACGAACATACAGATACAATGCGGAAGTTCAAATATATGTTATCTCTGTATTGCTTCAACTATGACACCCTGTATAGGCGACGACATGATTCCGCGATTTATCTGCGGTCGCAATTTGATAATGACGATTACATTTTGTACTTTGTAAGTTACTTAATGTACATCTTCATCATAACATCCAGATAACTGTCGAATTATCTTCTTGAAACTTACGATAGCGATATCGTTCTACGATCAGAGAAGATCTCTGGGACTTTTCTATTTATTAATAGCTTGGCCGAAAATTGTGAATATATTATTATAATTCACGTATACATATTGCACCGAAAAATAATACTACAAAATAAAAAAAATATAGAAAGAATACAATACATAAGAATATTGCACAAAAATAATAAAGTCTATACATTCTGGTAAAATAAAAAGTCGACGCGTATAATTATTATAAATAGCGCGATAAATATTCTGCCTTGGACAATATATGAAAATAAAATTTACATTGCTTAATAATCTAAATGCAAATCCAAAATGCAATAGAGCTGTAAATAGCATCAAAAGTACGTTCGTTTAAGGAATAGCTGTGTTTTTCTATTGTATCGATGTTACATCGTATTTTAAACAATGTGTTTATAATGATACAACTTTTTTCATTCATTTTGTACTGTCGACAAAATGATTCTGTAATGACGGGAAGAAAACAATTTTTTTCAAAAAAACTCGATTGTCTTTATTGATATTTTATAGAAAAAATCTAATTTTTGAAATGTATTTATAATTCGCATTGATAATGCAACTGTAAGAAAATTAAATTTCTATTTTAATTAGAATTGAGCTTATTCCAACACTTTGTGTTAGAATCAAGAAAGTCTCTTTTGCTCTGCAAAATATCAGACGTATATGCTTCGAGATATATTTTGTTAGCATAACAAATATCGTTTAAATCGATAAAGACAAGTTGATACTGTAGATTGATTATTCGCTGATATTATCAGTGAAAACCAGTGGATCTCAAAGAGTGCTACCGCAAAATTACACATAGTCGCTTATCCGCTTCGAACACCGAAAGCTTATCAGCGTAAATCGATAAAATCCTGCGATTTTCTTAAACAGCACATGACTTTTTTTTCTTACCACAAACAACATTATACGACTAGTGTCTATTTTCTACAACCGTAATTCGAAGGATAATGGAAAAACCTTCCCTTATCGTTCTTAAAATATCCACACTGATGATCTGCATATCCACATCATAGGAATCTTGAAGCAAAGAAAAGCAGATTGGAAATCTTGTATTACACTGGAGATTCCATTGACCAGAAAATACCAATCACTCGATCTAGATATAAAAATGAGCTCGTGAAAATGGAAATCAGTAATAGAAAACATTACTTATGCAACCAGAGAGAAAGCGTAGGATCGATTTTCCTTTAACAAAAATCTAAATAAATCAAAAATTATGAAGCAAGTAAACTTTAAAAGATATCTGTATATTGAGTAGTATTTGTATTTTTCTGGCTCTGGGCGGTTTATTCATCTTCAAATATTCATGAAGAATTCAGACAAAAGTATAGGCCTCCAGTTAAAGATATTTGTTAAAGCAAGATCAATATCAAATTTCTCAAAGAACATATTCCTATCGATCTCTATCTTTCGGACCCATATACCATGTATTAAGAGTATCTCGAGTTAAATATATTTCTCAGAAGATAACATTAGAATCTCTCTCTTTCTCTCAAGCGTTCGCAATAGCGATTACATCATCGTTCTCGCTCTTTTTGCACATACATTCTTACAATACAATTGTATCGCGAAATCTAATCATGTATTGAGAATATCTCGAGTTAAATATATTTCTCAGAAGATAACATTAGAATATCTTTCTCTTTCTCTCAAGCGTTCGCAATAGCGATTATGTCATCGTTCTCGCTCTTTTTGCACATACATTCTTACAATACAATTGTATCGTAAAAGCTTTCACAGCGAAAAGAATTTCAGGAAGGTCTGCGGAGGAATCGGTACGTGGAGAGACGCCTGATCGACGTCCGCTAGCTTTTCTTGAAATGCTGGATCCTGATCCGCAATACAGGGATGACCCAGCGATCGCCAAAACAAGCAACGACAATTGCGGCATAATTGTATCATTTCGGCGTATTCTTCCCGCAATCCAAACGATCTGGATAAAACAGACGAAATACATATAACAATGACAAAACTTTTGGAATACACTAAATTAATATTTCCAGCACCCTTGGTTTGTATAGAAAAATGTATATTAACCTTCGGGCAATAGTGAATATAGTCTTCCAGTCTTTTCCAGGATTGTTTTGTGTGGTGGTAGCGATCTGTTGCGGCGTAAAATGATACTGGGCGAGCTCGCGCCAGATTCTTTGCTCCTGCGCCAAAACAGCGAGATGTTCGCAGGCTTCAGACGAGGCTTCGATATCTCGCGGATCGCTCAGGCGTAGGAGGACCTCCCGCCGGCACTCGGGCGGCAAATCTGACCATTGAGGTTGTTGTTGTTCGTCCGGCTACAATGACTCGTCCGTTATGATCTTGAATTTCCTTGTAAGTATTAAATCGTTTTGCAAACTTGTTTGAATATCTTACCTGAGTGATAGTAATAGATGAGGCAATCTGCAGAATTCTCTCCAGAGCTGCCTTATGCTTCTCCCATAGGAGGACGGAACCTAGAGGCCTGCCTCCCCAGCAACAACCGGCGCTGAATGCCCGAACTCTCTCTATAAGACGTCGTAGTCTTCCCGTATGTTGTTGCGACAGTGACACTACAAATATCAAAGCAAAGATCAGTTTAGTATGAACAACATTTCTTTCGGGAAAATATATCCGCGGAATCGAACAATTTTCGATGAATTCATCTCGAAATAAACTAACGAAATCCTTTTACCTTCCAGGGCTACTTCTTCGAGCATGTTGAAGAGTACTCTCTGAGCGCATCCACTGAGACCACCCATTCTATGACTGACCAGAAGATCCAGAAGACGGACGATGTAATTAAAACGACGGCAATCGTGAACCGCGGATAGGAAATCCAGCCTCTTCAAGGCATCACTCAGGCCATTGAAGCCGGCGATCTGTAAATTTAGCGAACGGATAACGATCTCGCTCACTAAGATGTCTAAGTATAGGAGATGTAAGGACTGTCGACAGTTTGTTACTGGTATCTCTTTTTTTTTTCGTTTCTTTTTCTCGTCGCACTTAACATGTCTCTATCGAGCAAATCTCAGTCTCTTTCCTCTTGCACAAGATTGGGTCTAAATTAAGACCAGGCCGGAAGGAGTCACTCACCTCGCGTGTGCACTTCAGTGTGATGTGACAATGTGGTTGGACGGCATTTTCTGAAATTGAAGAAAAATGTTTGTCAGTCAAGAATTTTCACGAGTTTATTTTACTAAGGATGCTCCCTCTTCTTTTGCTCTCTTCCTTTTTCAATGCTTGACATCGGCAAAATTACTTGACCGATATGCTCGACATAGTCGATTCAAATTATTGATATTAAAGTAAAATAATACAAAAAGAAAATACAAGTTTATAACTTGAATTTATAATTACAACTAACAAAGATCAATTGGAATTGAAATATATTTCAATATGGAATATGGAATCGAAAATGTAAATAAGTTTCAATGGTAATATTACTTCTTACCTTTCTTCTTATCTTTCTCTTTCTTATCGCCGGCATCTTTCTCGCTGCTGTAAGAAAAAAAATGATATGAAATAGGCGCACTTTAGAGATGTAAACAAGATTTATTAGAATTTCAGGGAATCATATTTAGTATTAATCTATTTTTCATTGATATACATATACATATACATATACATATACATATATATATATATATATATATATATATATATAATAAATACATTTATTACATATATATGTAATAAATATAAATATTTTTAAATATATATCTCATTAGATCAATTTCTTAAATTAAATTTATGATTTGTTTTATGTCGAATAGAAGTAGACGTATAGATATTTTCTGCTAGAGGCACTAATATACGATCCCAATTATGGCATAATACACCGCGACCGGTTTCAACGGACTCGTGGCTGTTACCTCTCGCGACAAAGTAAGCTTCAATTCGACTATAGAAAGTTAGTATGTATAATACTGTTCACGAAATAATATTTCATAGGACTTACACTAGTTTTCTTACAATCTTTTTTAGACAAAACTTTGTCTGGAAAATGGAAAAATAATAGGAAAAATACGTAAAGTATACGTAAGAATATATTAAAATATTTTTGATTCTCTAATAACATAATAATTATCCATTTTTAATAATATCAATTTTAGACTTTACTCTTAAAAAAATAATTTTTGGACTATATTTATTTTTATTTTCAGACATGACAATTGATAGAGTTTAATTTAAAAACTTTGATTTGCATAAAAAACTACTGCATAATTTCAAGTAATAAAAATATATAAGTCATAACATTATTTTTATCCGCAATAAATAATGAATTTTTAGTCTGAATTCATAAGAAAATTGATCACAATTTATATATTCGCTAAAAATTACTGTGAATTATTGATAGTATCATCGGGTTTGTATTTACAAAAAAAGAGAGAAACACACGTAGGTGTTCGTATTCACGGTATAATCAGTTAAACAGGCCACGACAAATCCGTCTCGACAGTGGTACTTTTAACAGAGACCATAATCGTTTTATAACACGCTGATCATAATCAACGCAGACACATATCGCAAATAGACATTAACCATCCTTTTCACTGAGGATAATAACCCTTTCATTTCGGTCGCGTTAAATAATCACATAAGAAAGAAGGAGGAAGTGAAAAAATGCATCGTAATTGCATAAAATCGCATTAAACAACACATATTACGTAAGCGAGATGACTCCATAGTCTCATAATAGACGCGACATCGATTATTTAACTGTTACTGGATTACAATGAATTCTATTAATAATTTGTATTTAAATAAAAAGTCCAATATGCATGAGATTTATTCTCGGCTTTTAAAACTTGCAGATTTATTCGCACGAAGTATTATCGAGACTCGCGAAACGCGGCCAACACCTCTCGCTAATTTTAATAAGTTTCAAAGTATCCGAGCGATCGATATTTATTAAAGTTCTGCCGTTTATAAATCCATTAAAAAAGATACAAAGATGGAACGAATTTTATTGGATATAATGCTTTCCGATTTCTTCTCCGTGATTATTTATGCACGAGCTGCAAAAACACTTGCATACACGCGATTCTTTCCAGATTTTTGAAATTTTCGACTCACAAATTGTAAACCTCTCGCAGAGATTTAGGAATCCGATAAATGTCAAATTTAAAAATGTTAAACTTTGCGAGATGTTAGATATCTTCTTTAGAGATTTATTTGTAACGGAAATTTTAAGAGAAGGATTGTTGCATTATCGATTTTAAAGAAGCATACAATCGATATTGAACTATTTTGACTCTTTACATCATAAGAATTTTCAGCCAATATTATTCCAATATTATTAAGTATCTAATAGCTTATTATCATCGTTTCCAATTCTTAGATTTTAAAAGCATGTATGTGTCTTATATATTTCCAAAATAATTCTTGTAGACACATCCAGAAACGTAGTACAACTTTGTCGCATTCTCTCTCGTCACGCTTATGATTTTACCTATCCAATTAATGACGACGTTCGTTCTATTATAGGGACGCAACAATGACCTTGTACGTTAACCGGCGCATATATTCACACGTGCAACAGCTTTGCGTGCGACGTATATTTGTGACTTTTCCGCCTGAGCGAGACTGAATGCGAGAAAACCTCGATTTTAACATATCGATCGGGATGCGTCCTTTCGAATTATGAGCTCGACGAGACGTCTAAGGTCGTCGAATCACCCGTAGGAGATCTTATGTAAGTTTATATGATGGGATGGAGAGAGAGAGAGAAAGAGAGATCGACAGAGAAACAAGGGGGGCGAGAAGATATCTCATATCATTAGTTCGTAGGATTATATAACTACTCGTAGTATTCATTACGATCAGTTGTAGACATACGTATACATGCGATGAATAAAGAATCCAATAAAAAAGCCCCCGGTAATGTTCAATATCGATACCTTGACTGAAGTACTCAATGTCAAACCGATGTTTTGCTTGAAAATAGAAGGACAAATATCATATATATCGAAATAATTGATGTCATATCGCACAAAATGTTCAAGTTTATTATCCGAGTTTAATTTCAATGACGGATTTGTCTATAAAGTTAACTTGTCTATAAAGTTAAAAATGATTAGTTATTAGTCCGATTATTAATAGTTGAAGTGACATAGTTTCGAAGTTATAAACAATTACGTTGATGGAAGGTTTAGAAAGTCCTATAGTCTCCGTTTCTTCATTTCTCTTTCTATTTCCGAGCCGCAGAAGAACAACACTGATGGTTTATTTTAGTTCTCTTTGTACAATGTAGAGATTGATATATAACTAAGTACATTCGCAGCACCCTAAGCATCTTGTTCCATTAGCTCTGCGGCATAAAATGATCGAGCTAGATATATCTCAATAAAAATTATTGAAGAAGCAGAGACGGATTTTAAGGGGATTCAACTCAACGAGAACGACATCGAAAAATAGCAATGCGAAAACTTTCTGCGACGGAATTCAGTATACGCAAAATGAAGCTAAAGAGATTCGTGAAGAGACTGTATCCAGATTTGGATCGAAATAAATATAGCTACTATGATTGCCTCTGATAAACTCACTGTTATTTTAAAATGTGAAAAATAAGGTTGTGTTCTTGGAAATTAATAATAATTCTCGTATAACCAGAGATTCTCAAAATTTTCACACATATATGTAGTAGATAAAAAATTCTGAAAAAACACAAAAATTTGGAATACTCTGGATAAAAAAAGATAAACTATAGATTAAAGACAATATATTCTTGTAAATAATTTTCTATTTTAAAACCTCTTCTTTAAAGCATCTAAATATTTTATTTAATTAGTATTTAATAGACCAAAAATTTATTATCCTTGCTTTATTTTCTTTTAATATATAAATATTTTTTTCATACTTTAATATTTTATTTTAATGATAGAATATTTTATTAGTAATAATATTTTATTTCAACAAATTTTATCAAATTTTGTTGTGGTTAACATTTTTTCCAAGTAAGCATTTCGTGACAAACATTCACGAGTCAAGCCAACCTCGTATGTAAGTTGGACGATAAAAGCGAATGTAATGGTGATTTTTTCACGAGATAATACGCACGAAACTAAATGTACAGTGCAACACACAACATGATATATCGCACAAAACGTGCGAATAATTAATGCGAATATAGAGAGTGTCAGAGATTGGTTCGGGACACGAAACTTTTACTTCCATTGGGGTTCACCGACCCTTTCGTGGTGCGGCTAATCCCGTCAGGCTAGGAAAACTCGCGTAGGACGAGTACACGGTTGAATCGTCGAAATAATACGGGTGGGCGCATCGAGCATATTAAAATCAATGAGAAACGAGGGAAACGGAAAAAACCGGCTTTTAAATTCTTCCGCGCGCAACAATCCGTATTTTCCAACCATTTTATCTAACTGTATCAAGATCATTATGTGTGTATATGCGTGCAACGCGATAATGTAACGGCAAAAAAGCGATTTACTAATCTTCAACAACGAGGTCGGTTCTGATCTTCTGGTGTAGATATGTATTTTATATAAATTTTTTTATATGAATATACGTTTAAATTTAATAAAATGTTTCTCTCGTGAATTTCAGGCAGAAGGAGAGGCTCGTTTCACAACTTTTCACATTCTCATTTGTACTATAATGAAAATAAAATGGGTAAGAAAATTAGTTTTTTAATTTCCTTGTGATTATGTTACGAAGTTAAGAATTCTGATTAAGAATTAAATGCCCAACATTCATACTTGCAACACTATATTAGAATATGTAAGATATAATATAAGAATCTCTTTTTACTTTTAGGGCAAGTATTGAAATTTCTCGAAAAAAAAAATGTTGCTACTTTATCTGCAACTATATGAGTCATATAGTAATCATAGCAATTATGTTCTTCTTCCTTTAGGATATCTTTGCTAATGTATTGTCAATACATATATGACTTTACACATAATATTCATAGTATTTTTTAATCACTAAAAGAAGATAAAAGGATAAAAGGACCAGCGCAAAGGTAAAATTTATGCAGAAATCGAACGGTTGTTTCAATTTAACAAACCAAAAGAAATGTTTATTTAATTTTAACACGACAAACGCTGCGTTTCGATCCAATTCGGATCCTTTTCAATGTCGAATAACATAAAAATAAAAATGAAGTTAACAGTCATTAGTATAATATAAATAAGGTTCGAAAAAAACGCAAATCAAAGTAAATGGTTAATTAGAAAGTCAAAAAAGTCAGAAGCAAAGATACGCAAAATAACGGATGATTCAAAAAATCAATTCAAAAGCGCAACGCATTAAACATAATAATCGGAATATCGCAGAAAGCCGAATGCAAGCCATGCTCTATATCCTCAGTGTACCGCAGAGAACACGCTGCTCCCCTCGAAAGAAGAAACCGAAAAGAAAATTCCCACATTCATTTCCAAATAGAAAAGAAGTCAAAGATGCATAAATCAATGCAATGAAACGCAGCGTTTGTCGTGTTTAAATTAAATAAACATTTCTTTTGGTTTGTTAAATTG